CAGTTCAAGTCTGAGGAAGCAGGATAAGCAATATGGCAACGAGAACGTCGATTAAGGATTGTTACCATCGGAGAGTGTCGATCGAAGGAGCTCGCAGGCAGCAGTGGTGTACGGAGAGAAGGTGAAGGCTGAATGAGTTGAAGTCAGGAAAGCATCGAAGTAGACCAGAAGAAGAGCGTTGATTGGGGTGCGTTAGTCACGTGTGCTAGGGGGGAGGGGCAAAGGCTCTATTTCAGTCCATACGAAATTTTGAAGGGAAGGCCAAAAAGTAATGGGGCAATGGGGGTTAGGAATTGAAGGAAAGTCCTGCTGGACTTAGAAGATAAATGGATTTTTTTTTTTTTTTTTTTTTTTGTAGGCAGTCAGCTAAATTTTGTTTCAAAAGAGTTAAAGGCAAAAAGCTTTAGTATTAACTTGAGCAAAGGATAACTAGGTTTTTATGCAATTGGATATACGTAATTCAGTTAATTAAATAACAGCGAAGTTATTTGCATATATAAGTTTTTTATTTTTTTTTATTCGTGTTCAGGTTTGTTGAGCTCTCCTATGATAAGAAATAGGATGTACATTTTATCCATTTGAGTTTCTGCGGATCTAAGGTTATTGAGATTTTTCTTGAGTAGATTCGTTAATTTTGTAATTTGTTGCCAGCCGAAAATAGATTCAATTTCACGCATGACTTTGAATAATTCAAGGAATCCGGACGTGTTGGGCTTGGTTTATTTTTGAAATTAATTGAAGCTGAGGGTTTGTTTGAAAGAAGTTGTTCTGTTTTATGGCTGTAAGTGGAGGCTGGTTCTTGGTTGGTTGATAAGATAGGTTGTACAGTATGCGTTTTTGGATTTAATATTTCCGAGTAAAGTTTTCGGGGCCTTGTGTGTGTAGTGCTATTTCGTGGTTGGGGGGAATTTTACACACCCCCTATAAGAGGCAGGGATGAGAATTTTGACAGTTGGCACAAAACTGGATTTTCGATAAAAACCTTTATTGGGGCATTCTGCAGATCTGTGGTCCCGGGCGCATTTAACGCAACGGGGGAATAGAAAACAATTGTCAGATGAGTGATGCCATTTCTGGCAGTTATGGCATTGAGGGATGAGGTTCTTATTTATATATTTTTCAATTTGTACAATAAAAAGTGACATGTGGGTGATATTGAAAATTTCTTCAATGTTGGAAGTAGGTAATAATTGGATTTGGAATAGGGGCATAGGCTGCCGAGTTCGGTTTTTGGTCATTTGTGTGATTTTGTGAGTTTTGAATCCTCGTTCAGTAAGAATTTCTTTTATCTCTTTTGTGTCCATGTCAATGGGGAGACCTCGAATTACCACTTTTATTGGTTTTAAGCGTCTAGCGTTTATAAAGTAATGTTCAATATTTTTTCTTTAAGAAATTGTATCAAAGTACGATGGTCATCTGGTGAGTTTGGTATAATTTTTAAGAATTCGCTGTTAATTCGGCCTAGGAATTCAGCTTGTGATTGCTCTGCAAGTTGCTTCAGGTATGTGTTGTACTTGACGTTTTCTGGTGGTTTCACAGTAACGGGGGGAATAGACTTGGATTGGGGGGGAGTGGGTGTTCGCGGGGAGGAATTATTATCTTGGTTACTAGGAGTAGTATCAGATTGAGATGGCATGTTGGTATTTGCATTATCCAGTGGGCTAAATCTGTTTTTAGTGGTGATGTGGCCAGAAGCATCTTTAAGGTTAGCTGATTTTTTAATTTGCTTAAAGGATCGGTTTGGTTTAATATAACCGTCGTTTGTTTCACTGCAGTTGTCTGAGTTTTCAGAGGTATCATGTTGTTTCCTTTTTGCATTAATATTATTGTCATTATTAGCCAAGTTATCAAGTTTATTTTTTATAGATTTAGCTGCAGGGATTTCTGAGGGATTCCTAGCACACAAGGACATGAAATAATCGCACTTACCCTTGAGGTGCTCCATTTCAGACTTCATTCTTCGGATATTTTGTAGCATCAGTGGAGTATAGTTATCAGGGTCCGAAACTGCTCTGTTGGCATCCATTTGCTTCTTAATTGTCTTGGTTTGCTCAATTTTGGCGTCTAACTCGTGGATTTGTTTTCGAATCTGCATGACAGCTAATTCCGGTTTTATGGCCATCAGTTCCGTTTCCGAAGCGGTCGATGTATCCATAGTGTCTTGTTCTTCATCACAAGATATGCTCCAGTCGGTAATATGTTTATCCGGCGGGATAGCGGCGCCGGCAGGCGCTGGATCATGGGCTGAAGCCATAGGTAAGAAAAAGCGTCCTTCACCCACGAAGGCTGAAGGCGGACGGACCCGTTCTCCCGGGGTGCTCTCCAACAAAATTGGGGGGGGCGGAACTGAGCTAAATTGCCAACGGCAGGCGCTCCTTACCACGAGAAGTTTCGTGGGCTTGGGCTGAGGTTACTGACAGACAAGTGAGCATAACTAAAAACACCAAGTAAAAATATAAAATCAATTTGCAAACACAAGCGAGCCTCTTTAGTACTGAGACCTCGGCTCCAGATCATAGTACTCCAGTCACTATGACCTCTGCACACTGCAATTGGGCGCTTTTTCAGCAAGAGGTAATGGGACACATGTAATGGTTTTCTCTCCATATGGGCCTTCCTCTTTTATGCAGTTGCAACTCAAAGTGTATCTGAACATTTTAGTTCTTGCAACTGCTTTGCAATCTGTGTTGATGTCAATGTCTATTCCTTTTAACAGTCGTTCTGAATAATGTGCCTGAAAGTCCTTCACTGGTTGTCTGCACATATCACCAGTATCTTTAAGCTGTTTCTTGATTCCTCATATGGAGCTTTTGGCTACTTCTAGGGCCTTACAGACATATAACAGTGTCTGTACTGTTTCCATTTTTCCAATCATGCATCATTTCTCACAATCCGTGAAATGCTTTCTCAACGATATGTCCTACCTTTCACATACGAAGGTTTTATCCAGCGAGTATAATCCTTGAAATTAAAATCTGAAGCTTAGCTTTCGTACCGAAAAAACGAGGGTAAAAATCTGCATATTTTTATGCAGTAACGGTGAATCCCATTGGTTTATTTGATAACGATACCTTTACCAGTACCTTTTATCGGACTTCAGTTCTTCAAATCAACTTGAAGCAATTTTGAAAATTATTTCTTTAATTTTTTTTTCCGTCATGTTACAAAGGAACTAACAACTAATTCTGTAGTGAAAAAGGCAGCTGGGGACTGAAATGCAATACTTTTTCTCACTTTTACCTACTGTTACTGAAGAAAATGCCTTTTTGAGCCTTCGAAACAGCTTTAATATCTTCAAGTTTAATTATGCTTGACAACTTGCTAATACTTTAAGACTGATTTTAGGTAAAGTCAAAGAATGTTTATCGTCCCATGACGATACCATTGCACACATGCATTTTTCGGATTTTAAAAGTAAATGCATGTTCGCATAAGGACTTCGGAGAGCAGGAAGGAAAGAGGGATATTTTTTACTTCTGTATTTCATATTTTTGACTGAATTAATAACTTTCTGCTGAAAAAGTAAGAAGAAAACTTATGCATTTAAAATCTGAAAATGGAAAGGAAATTAATGCAACTTATAGCACTTAATTTTAAATTTACATAGTTAATTAAAAATTTTATTAATTCTTTTTATAAAGCTTTACTGATAATTTATCAGGAAAAATACAGTCTAAAAATGTTTAGAAAAAGGAAGCTAAATAATTGTATTAGGTAACCTCTATACAAATTTCTTAGTTAATTATCAAATTTTTTTCTTTTACGTTTGCTAGTCTGTTATTGTTTTAGTGAAAAATAATTAATAATAGTGAAAATTGTGTCTTGTTGTGTTTCCGTTTATTCTTAAAGTATCCTTAACATTTTCACCCTGTTAAGATGCTATTATAAATCCGTATCGAAATGGTATTTTAAATACGTGTTGTAAACACTAATAATGTACAAAAGGTGCTAAGGGTTTTATTGTGTTGCATATTAATTGTTGATCTTAGACTTATAGTTCTGATTCGGAAGCTTTCTAAAATAAGAAATCAGCATTATCTCTTATCATATAAGTGATAACAGTTTTTCCCAAATGACTGACCACTGTAGGTTATAATAGTTGTGCCGTTTAAAAAATGTTTTTGTAAAGCAAAATTCCTAATTGCAGGTAGTAAAGTTTATATTTTAATTAATTAAATATTTAATATATTTAATTATATTTAATTAATTAATTAAGAATAAAAATTTCCAAATTTTTACTAGCAATATAGTGATATACTCAAAAACGAATTAATTTATTTGATAATTATTTTCATGCTTAAATTAAATTTCAAGTTTTCTGATTTAGGAATCAAATACGAAATAAAATATACCCGTTTTGGCAACGATCGTTTCATGCCGGTTAAAACAGCTGCCGATATTAAATTTACAATTCAACCCTTCGTTTTTGGTAAAAATTTTATTTAACGTCCCACTAATTTTGTATCCAAAACTATGAAACACACTGTAAAATAATTAAAGAATGCTGATTATTTATTAACTAGACCTTTTATTTTATGAGGCCCAATTAACTCTTTTATCCGTAATACTTTATTTTTTACCTATGATGTTAGGACACTTTTCACAGAATTCTGCATGCTATTTTAAAAACTCTATAATGGGCTATATAAAACTCTATAATTTAGGACAATTAGTATTTAGCGAAATAAAGACAATCGCCATATTTTGGAGCCCTTATATAACTCTACCATAATTATTCAGTAAGTTTGAAAATAATTCATTATTTCTATTTACATGTTTGAAAATAATTCATTATTTCTATTACATTATTCTATGTAAATAGAATATTGTTGTTTTGCCATTAAATGAGAGTAAAAACGTGGATTTTTGAGTTTACCTGAAATAATTTGCTGGATTGTTACGCTTTCATCAGATATTTTAAAGCTTAAATCTAGCTAATCTCTTAATTTAAACAAAGGCAATGATGTATTTAGTTTGAGAGGGGAAAAATTGTACTATACCTTCGTTGAAATCGTAAACAGTTTTGACAGGACCATAATTCTGGAACTGTGAGTAAATTTCTTTGTCATGTTCTGAGGTAGGATCCGGTGTATAATCTCTTCGGGCCAACTTCTTTTCATAGTAATAATATATCTAAAGAAAAAAAAATATAGAAGAAAGCTCGTTAACCAACCTATGTGTTACAATACAATTGCTTACAATATAGTTGCTTAATATCTCACGCTAACTGAAAAATGCTTGAATTGAAAATGGGTGAAACGAGTGCATTTTTTAGTTGTTCATACATCTTGACTGTTGTGTCAACGAGTCTATTTTTTTCAACACCGTTTCCATTAGTATCTAGACATCCACCCTGCGGACCATAGGATGAACATCTAGCTTCAACTTTACGTGTTCATACTCTAGAAAGGATATAGTAAAGGGCATATCAGCCAAAAACTGTAATGGTAGCCTCTGGCTGTTACCCTAGCCGATGCCCGCTTAAAACATCGCGGACGAAAACGTCGCGGAGAAAACATCGCTAGGCGAAAACATCGTAGTACAAAACATCGTGGAAGAAAAGAAAGCAAAGCGAAGGCATCACAGTTTTAAAACATCGTGGTCGAAAATAAAGCACTTTTGAAACTTCTCAGTTTAAAAACATCGCCGTAAAAAATATCGTGGTAAAAATAAAGTAACCGCAAATCATCGTATGACGATAACATCGCACACATGCATTTTTCGGATTTTAAAAGTAAATGCATGTTCACTTAATGACTTCGGAGTGCAAGACGGATATTTTTTACTTCTGTATTTCATATTTTTGACTGAACTAATAACTTTTTGCTGAAAAAGTAAGAAGGAAACTTAAGCATTTAAAATCTGAAAATGGAAAGGAAATTAATGCAACTTATAGCACTTAATTTTAAATTTACATAGTTAATTAAAAATTTTATTAATTTTTTATAAAGCTTTACTGATGATTTTTCAGGAAATACATTCTAAAAATGTTTAGAAAAAAGGAAGCTAAATAATTGTATTAGGTAACCTCTATACAAATTTCTTAGTTAGTTATCAAATTGTTTTCTGTTACGTTTGCTAATCTGTTATTTTTAGTGAAAAATAACTAATAATAGTGTAAATAGTGTCTTGTTTTGTTTCCGTTTATTCTTAAAGTACCCTTACCATTTTCACCCTGTTTCCTTTTTGCGGTATCAAATCATTATGCGAAACTGCATTTACAGCTCTTAAAATCTGAAAAGCGCATGTGTGCAATGTTATCGTCATGCGATGATTTGTAGGTACTTTATTTTTACCTTGATATTTTCGACGACGATGTTTTTAAACTGTGATGTTTTTGAACCGCTTTATTTTCGACCACGGTATTTTATACCACGATGTTTTAGAACTGTGACGTTTCCTTTTTGTTTTCTTTTCTCCCACGATGTTTTGTATTGCGACGTTTTCACCTTGCGTTGTTTTCTCCTTGACGTTTTCGTCTGCGATGTTTTCGTCTGCAATGTTTTCGGCTGTAACCATCCTAGCCTTTGGTATTACCACAGAATTTCAAGTAAATACCAAACAGCCTGAATGGCAAGTTCTGAGCAGCTTAACTATTACAAATTCAGATACTTGTATTAGTTTTAAGGCCACTAACTATTAGCCAGACTTGACTAAACTGACATCACAAGTTCAGCATCAAGCGATCAGCGATCTCGAAGAGAAAAATAAAGTTCATTCTGTTATGTTTGCATTTATAATAATTATTAGAATTAAATTAATGTTTTTATTTTCAAGAGTACTGTATTCAAGAGTTTTCTCAACAAAATTTATCTTATTATTATTATTCTACTCTATATCGTCAATATATATAAATTTGTTTTACAACTTTGTTCCCCCCTTTCACGTTTTAGTTCTTTTCTTCAATAGCGAGTATGTCGTCTCAAAGTTAGAAATACTTGCGCAAAATAATTTTAAGTCGAAATGTAATTCTTCGAAACTATAACGAATCTGATATCTATTGACATTAACATCGAAACGGACTTAATTTAATTGTGTATTCAAAATTGATAGCGCGTTTGATCAGCTGTGCCAAGCTTCAACTGAGCTGTAAGCAAGATATATATAAATATATATTATTTGACGAATTTTATAATTTACGTTTAAATTTCGATTAACGCCTAATTCACAGAAATTATAAGTATTAAATTAAAATTTTGTAAAGTAAATGATTTGACAAATCTAGTTTTAATTTTTTTGCTATATTCCACCAACTAAATATCTTTCTACTTTTAAATTAATAACTACTTTCTAAGAACTTTTGAGCTTTTGGCATTACTCATTTTGCTGCTGCTGTCTCGTGGCAATCATTTTTAGTAACGTTGAAAAGCACTGTTCCAAGAGTGCCTCATTATCCTTTAAGATGGTAAATGACTCTGCAGGTCGAGTTGAGATGTTGGGCGCAAAGACCCGATAATATATCCCAATGTAAAAGTGCTATTCGCTGTCGATATTTGGGTGTTTCCTGGTACAAGCGCTCATTGGTTACCCAGCTGTTTAGAACTACGAAAGAAACATTGCATAACTTCCTCAAGCTGGCTATTATGGGCATAGGAGGGCGGATGCACTAGCAGAAGATGCCACCCTGGGGATTGGGACCCAAAAGGGTTATATGCAAGATTAAAAAAAGAAAATATGCACACCGCGCAAAAAAAAAAAAAAAAAAAAAAAGGCAGTTCTGTATCTCCAGTTCTACTGGGTTGACGAAATTCAACTTGCGTTTTTCATGTCTGGAAAGAGCGAGTTAGGATATATATTAGATTTACATATAGCATTTTTCTAACATAGGTATTTTGACACAAAATCGGAATTTTCTGAAATGACATGCCAAGTGTTTTCCATATTTCGATTCTACGATCCAAATTATGCCAAACTGCCAAGTTTTGTAAAAATCGCAAGAGTAGTTTTTAAATAATTACCCCTCAAAATTTTAGCTCCTCTATGTTAACTGAATTTGATTTATATTTATTAATACCTCTTTTTTTATTAAACTTACTTACTTGATTCCATCTTCCAGGATTCAAAATTTAGGCTTAATCCAATATAATCCAAATATAATTCGTACTTTTTTCTGTGATTTATTTTTAAAATTTGTATTTTTAAATATTTCTTATAGATTTTTCGAAAAATATTTTGTACTATAACCTATAAATTTTTAACATTATTCTAAAGAAGTTCTAAAGAAGATGTATTTCTAGGCACACCTGCAAAAAATTAAGAGTTTTTTATTCAAAATTTCCTCTGATATACATGAATTTACATATTGATGCCTTTTGAAATTTGACATGTTTTTATGAGCAATAAAACATCAAATGTGGTTTAGGTACTTTGTTAAAATTATTTGAAAGTATGAATGATCACTTTTTTCCACTAGTGTACCAAAAAAGGAAAAAGAAGGAAGGTAAAATACTTTGCTATAAATTAAGAAGGTCACCAAGTGAATTATTCTGGGCGCAAACCGAAAAACAGGAGCAAAGATAAATTTTTAAATTTCTCACCAAAAATTACAAAATTTAATATTCAGGCACACTTTGAGTCGTAAAATTGAAATATGGAAAAAAATGGCATGTCATTTCAGGAAAAGTCCAATTTTATATCAAAATATCTTTGTTAGAACAATGCTAGATATAAATCTAATATATATCCTAAGTCGCGTTTTCAAGCCATGGGAAACGTAGTAGAACGGAAGATATAGAACTGCCCTTTTTTTTTTTTTTTTTTTTGTGTGTGTTGTGTGTGTGTGTGTGTGTGTGCAGTGTACCATAACAGAAAACAAGCTTATTCTGAAAGAAAATAAAGTCATCTAAGTTGCTTAACAAAAGTCATCTTTTTTTTAAAAATTAGAAAAAAAAAATGAGAGTTTTGGGAGATATAGATGTCAATCAAATTCTCACTACGCATGGAAGGTTCTCTGCTTACTTAAAAAGGTTACACCTCCAGGAAAATGATATGTGTAATAATAAATTTAGCGATTGAAAGCACTTCTTCGAGGACTGTTGCCTGGCTCAGAGTGTGAGAGGAAAATATAAATTTGCAAAGATTGAAAATTTATTTAGTAACTATAAATTGTTTAGAGCATTTGCAAGAGGTATTATGCAAATTGTGAATGAAAATAAGAAGAATATTGATATCGAGGATACTTAAAAACAAATATAATTGAAAGGAACTTATAATTTAAGATGAATTTTTGATAATATGAAGAAATTTTGAATAATAATGATTGAAATTTAAAATTAAAAAAAAATGTTTTAAGTGTTTAAAACTTAGGAAGGAACATAGAAATGGAAATGATACCTCTACATACTGATTTCACCGAGAGAGTTTGGGAGGTATAGTTTGACCGTCTATTGCGCAACCCTGGTTGGCATTCTGCCAAAACACATAAACTCGTCCAAAAGGGGCGGTATTACTTGCTGCGACGTAAAAGGTCTTCTCTTCTCCGGAAAGAGCTATGCTGGAGGAAAAGAAAGACCCCATCCTTCCACCCTATTTTGAGAATAATTCGGTCCGAATGGCGCATGCGTGTTTGCGCTCATGTTCGCGGATGAGGCAATCGAACTCTATGTATTTGTTTTATGTGGTGTGATTTTATTTCTTTTACAACCCTTTTTTCTTTATTTATTTAGAGTTTCTTTTGTTCGTTTTGTGTCTTGTATCATGTGGTGTTTATACCAATCACCAGATGTTTAAGTTTATTATTTTCCGCTATTTAACCATTTATTTTGTTATGTTTCGTTATTTAACGCTTATTTGTTTATATATTGGCCTTCCCCTCATAGCCATATGGCAGGCTTCGCTTGCTAGATGTGCTGGAGGCCAATGCTTAGAGCTAACGAACTAATTAACTAATTAACCCAGCCATTGCAAGTTGTACTAGATAGCAGAAAGAGCAAATTTTCTCAAAAATCTTTATACTCACCTCTTCAAATGATGTCATTTCAGTGGCAGTGTGCTTTCCATCCACATTTTGCTCAAACGCTGTGACTTGCAAACGTGTACTAAATGCATTCGGAAATTTTGGCATATCTAGTCGTCCCCTGTAATCTTTGCAGTACATCCACTTCGGAATCTGCCAAAAAGCATAAAATGTAACATAACATCTCAAATCGAGATTTCAATTAAAAGATATGCATTCAGGTTTTCATTATGTAAGAAAGATATACATCCAGGTTATAGGACCTGAAAGATTCTTTCAGAGATTGAGAAGAATTTAGTGAAATGAATAAATAAATTATGCTGTCAAAACTTAATAACTGTTCGTATGCTCCTTAAACGGGATTTCCAGAGGTTTCTAGTAGATGACTTCATCTTGCTAGACACTGATTTAAATTGGACTGGAAAACGTCTGATGTGTACACTGCATGATTTCCTTCTACGGAATATTAAATTATATGCACTTTTTTGCTGCATTTCACTTAAACTTATTTCCCCCAATTTCATTAAAATAGATTTCTCATTCAATTAATTCAGTTCTCACTTCACGACAAGGCAAAAACGCATAAAACCTCAAAACATCTTTATAAAAATTGGAAAATATAGAAAAATATAATACACCAAATACAGTTAAAGCAATTAAAAAACAATTTTTACAATTAGAGTTTTTACGCAAAAACAAGCAATTAGGCCAGCAGGCGAGAAGGTAGATTTTTCAGCGCTCAGCCTGAAAGTTTACTTTTGATCCCACACGGCAAAAAGACACTGAAGGCGCAAAAGCTGACTTAATTCACTGTTCTGCTGTTTCAAATGTAAATAAATATGGCAGCTATAGTAAAAAAAAAATAGCCGCAATTAAAAAAAAAAAGTTTTAATTTGCTAATTCTATAACTATTGCCAGAAGAATAACTAAAGACAAAAAACCGTAACCAGAAGATAAGAACAACATAATTAAATCATTTTTAAAGTAAAAAATGCACAATGTACCAAAATATAAGAATAAAAAAATCTGATGTGTACACCACATGACTTTTTTGTACGGAATATTAAATTATACGCATTTTTTCTTGCATTTCATTTAAACTTATTGGATTGAATTAAATCTACTTCGGAGACAGCGCATAAACCACAATAGAATAAATGCATTCTTTAGAATTCACTCTAGTATTTGTTTACCATAGCGACACTCTGGCGCTAGATTCACTTAACAGTATTATATTTCGTTCATATTATAACTCATAATGCACAAAATTTATGTCATTTAAAGAATAGAATTATCTAATCGTTGTCACATGTTCTATTCAAATACTATAATAAAGCTAGAATGATGTATAAAAGAAATTAAGCAAAAAAGGAACAGTTTTTCACATTCAATTAATTCAGTTCCCACTTCACAGTATTTCTCATTCAATTAATTCAGTTCTCACTTCGCGAGAAGGCAAAAATACATAAAAACTCAAAATATCTATATTAAAAATTACGAAGTAAATCTGAAACACTTATTTCCTCGAAAAAATTCCAGTAAGGATTAAGCATGATTTAACTGGCAATAATAAATGAAGGCGTTATCCTTGTTGTTGTGAAGCTTAGTTTCCCTAGATTGGCAACAAATCCACTAGTCAGCTGTTTCAAATGTAAACAATCAATGGCCGCCATAAAAAAAGGCTTAGTGGCTCTTAAACAACTTTAAAATTGTTGATATTTCTAAAAATATTGCATACAGATTTACTAAAGGAATAAAAACCTTAACCGGAAGATAAAAACAATATAATTCAATCATTTTTAAAGCAAAAAATGTGCAATTTACAAACATATAAGAGTAAAGATGAGATCACTGGGGTGTTAGCGGGGCTATATTATAACTACGTTTGGTGGGGCTGCCCATACGGGGTGGAGCGCGTTGGTGCGATAACAACAAACAATTCTAGACTACTCGTTTTTCCCACCCCGACTTTTACAGCAACCACAAAAATTCCTTCAGAATTCATTGTAATTTTTTCACTGTTATGCTTTTAAACGATCTTTTATCTTTTTTTACGTAAGATATCACTAAAACATCGTTACTACTCATTTTTCGCTAGCGTCACAAATGGATATTTTGTTCTTTCTGCCTGAACTTTTTCGATTTACTTTTTTTTACTTCGTCAAGGATCAAAATTTGAGCTACGCAACAAAAGAGATTATCTGGTGCGGCCGAGTGGGAGATGCAAACATTTATTAATCCTTTTTTTTTTAAACTGTTCAAAAATTTATTCTGGAAACTGATACCCTTCTGTTATTTTTTTTACGTTTTCGTGATTACGTACAAATAAAAGCAAATCGAATAACAAATGAGGTTAATTGTTGCATTTTGTAAAACTGTACCCAAGCGGTTCAAATAAAGATTATTTTAGTTGAAATGCGGCCTGTTATCCAAATTCTTTCGTCTGATTTTACGCTTTTTACTGTACAAAAAAGCAAATTCAAGTTTACGTCGCCACATGTCAAACAAAATTCGGTTAAGAATTTGACACCACCTTAAAAAAAAAGTAACACAATTATATTAGTCTTTTTATCTTGTATTATTCTAACGTGTACTTGTGATATTTTTACGCTCTCGCTGAGTTCACAGTTTACCAGTCTGCTCTTAGACTCACACCTGCTAACACAACATTTTTGTCTTTTTACTTCCTTGTACGAAGTAAAAAGGAAGTAATCGCGAAAAGTTTCACTTTTTTCTTCCAAAAAAATTATAAAAGTGCTTTAAAATGAATTCTAAAGAGAATTTTTTTGTGGTGTCTGTACGTATGTATGTATGTGTCTCGCATAACTGAAAAACGAGTAGTCTCAGAATGTTGAAATTTTGTATATAGGAGTGCTATAACGTTGTAGATGTGCATCTCATATTTTGGTTGCAATCGGCTGCATCGAAAGTATATAAATGTATTTATATACATATCCACTCTGTTACCCGGCTCAGTAATCTCAGTTTCTTTACTCTTATACGTTTGTAAATTGTGCATTTTTAGCTTTAAACATGATTGAATTATGCTGTTCTTATCTCCCGGTTAAGGTTTTTATGCCTTTAGGAAATCTGCAAGCAATATTTGTAGAATTATCAACAATTTAAAAGCTGTTTAAGTGCGGTTGAGCCTAATTTTTAAATAACATGGCAGACATATTTGTTTACATTTCAAACAGCAGAATAGTAGATTGGTTGCGAATCTAAAGAGACTAAGCTTCGCAATAACAAAGATAACGCCTTAATTTATTGTTGTTGCGAATTAAATCATGTTTAATCCTTTCCGGAATCTTTTCGAGGAAATATATGTTTAAGATTTACTTTGTAATTTTTAATATAGATATTTTGAGTTTTTATGTATTTTTGCCTTGTCGCAAAGTGAGAAGTGAATTAATTGAATGAGAAATCTATTCTAACGAAATTCGAGGAAATACGTTTAAGTGAAATGCAGCAAAAAAGTGCATATAATTTAATATTCCGTAGAAGGAAATCATGCAGTGTACACATCAGACTTTTTCCAGTCCAATTTAAATCAGTGTCTACCAAGATGACGTCATCTACTCCAAACGTCTGGAAATCCCGTATACTGTAGAGATACTGAATCATTTGTGAAAAACAGTTTCTTTCTTTCTTTTTTTTTTTTTTTTTTTTTTTTTTTTTGTTGTTGTTGTTGTTGTTGTTGTTCTTTGCTTAATTTCTTTTATACATCGATTTCTTTTATACATAGATTTATTATAATATTTGAATAGAACATGTGGCAGCGATTAGATAATTCTTAAGATGGTATAAATTTTGTGCATTCTGAGTTAGAAAATGACTGAAATATAACGCTGTTAGGTAAACCTAGCGCCAGAGTGTCGCTATGATAAACAAATATAGTGAAGTTTAAAGAGTGCATTTATTCTACTGTGGTTTGTGCGCTATCGACGAAGTAGATTTAATTCAATCCAATAAGTGTAAATGAAATGCAAGAAAAAATGCGTATAATTTAATATTTCGTACCAGGAAGTCATGTGGTGTACACATCAGATTTTTTAACTTTATTGTTAAACATCACTTCTCACTTAAGCCGCAATCAGAATCTTTTTAAAAGTAGCATATGTTTAGAATTCCTAATGCAATGTTGCCACTAATTTTAACAGTCTATTCTTTTTTCCTCATATCAATGCTCATTTTTCTTAGGAGGATGACTTATATAACTGTTTATTGCTAACATTTCATCTTTTAACTTTATAAATTGGCATCACTCTTTTCGCACGTCACGAAACTTTCAAAAGCAAAATCACAAAATATTTGAGGATATCTCTAGAATTTCCCATGGATTTTAAGTGTTACTATGCATTATTTTTACATTCGATTACATTATTATTTCTTTCAAACTATAATACATGACACTATATATAAACTATAATACATCTTTAAAACTATAATACACTTGGTGGCTACTGTAATATCTTGTTATTTAATAAATAAGTATAATTATTGTTGAAGTGGCAACGACATATTTGTATCAAACCGTTACTCAGCAACGAGAGATGTTGTTAAAAAAAGATTAGTATTCTGAAGATTTTAACAGCTAGGAGTAGGATGAAAATTTTGCCACTTAAGAATTGTATAAAATTTGTCTATCACCGAGAACTAGAAATAAAATTTATGTTCTACTAAGAAGATTGTCTGGTTTGTAATTTACTGCAAAATACATTACACTACATACTTTTTATTTGTGTTCTTATCTTTATTATATTCACCTATATATGTTATCATTATGTATTATTTCTTTAAATACATTATTTTAATTTAATACATTATTTCTTTAAATTTTTTAAATAATTTAAAATAATGTATTATTTGTCTAAATTTTTAAAATAAAAGTTTAAAAAAAAAGGTTTAAATAAAGGATTTTGAAATTTTTTAAATAAACGGTTTTCCTTTCATTTTTCAAATAAATATTTTTAAAGAAATAATGTATTATTTTCTTTAAAAATAATAAATGGTGATAATATTTTGTGTCAACTTCCATTTATTTGAAACATGACACGGGCAAAAAAGTGAGATTCAGGAGGGGGAAATTAATAAGTATGAATAAGTTTATTTTTATTTCAATTGAACGAAATTTGTTATCGGTTGTTTAATTTGTTGATTATGATTTATTGATCATATTAAAATATTTTATACAATTATGAATAGCTCTGATTTAAAATGTTAAAAAAAAACCGGTGCCATATGGTAGAAGGAAAAAAAATTTACTCCATGGCAAATAACACCATGTGGGAAATTTTCCAGTTATTCAATAAAAGAAAGAATTATTCAGGATGTAACTGCGTACATTTTTCATTGGATCGCTCGCACACTAGGCTTGCAATTTTTTCTTGCAGGTGAAAAAACAGCAATTTTTTTTTCCAAGTACGCGGTTTTCGCATAGAGATAACAATAAAACTTTCCACACAATATTTGAAAAATGTCTAAAATTTAGAATCAGAAAAGTAGAACATTTCTGAAGACCATATCTCTTTATTACTTGAAATGTATCCAGCTTGAATTCAGGTTCACCTTGAAACCAGAAGTAATTCATTGTCTTGTTAAAATACACAAGTTTGTCAGATAGATCATCGTACATGCTTCCGTACATGTCAGCTTTTACTGGTACGGGTAAGAGGCCGTTGTCTATCCCAGTTACAAAGCTTTTAGGTGTACCAGCAGATGGGGTTATGGCATCATCTACACAAAAGAAAATTAATGAAATCAATACATGATAGGTTTGGAATGGATGGGGGAGTGGGTAGCGCTATGTTAATTTATTTATATGGAGTGGAGATAGGAAATGGGACCAATGGTAGGCAATGTGACCAAACTTAAACCAATGAATTCAGTTTATCAAGCAGAACTATACGCATTGACAGAGGCTTTGAATTGGATTAAAAAAAAATTAACAGTTAGACGGTTTAAAATATTTACACTGATGCCCTAGCTGCGCTACAGCCACTCGCCCAACCAGATCATAAAAATCGACTGATTCATAAAATAAAAAACTTATTTTAAAAAGCTGAAACAAAATATATTGTTAAATTACACTGGGTTAAAGCACACGTGGAATTGTCGGAAATGAAAGGGCGGACATCCTTGCTAAAATGGCGGCACTTGGGGATGGAAGAGGTAAATGGCGGCACTTGGGGATAATTTTGATATCCAAGATTCAAGAAATAAGACCATTGCTGCAATGGAAAACTGAATTATACAGAATGGAATTTTTGCTGGCAGTCGTCTAATAAGAAGAGTTAATGAAAAATATAAACAAGAAGATGAATATTATAAATGATGTTGATATAAATCAGGTACTGACTAATCATGGGCGTTTCTCGGCTTATTTTAATCCGTTCTATCTACAGAATAATGATAAATGCTTAATATGTGACAAGTTTATGGACGCCAGGCACTTCGTCGATGAATGTACGCTTACCCCGGAGTGCAAGAGAGAAATATAGAAAGCATTTTAAGGAAGATTTTAAAAGGAACTATTCATATTTGGAAGATTTTGCAGAGGCAATAATGAAAATTATAAATACTAAAAAAGATAGAATTGGAATTCAGCACTGAAACTCAGATCTTGGACTCTTTTTTTTTTTTTTTTATTATATCTGTTCTTTCATGACCAGTCCCATTTTTTGATTATACTGCCGGCTAGGAGGATCGGGGCTGTGCCCTCATAATGATAGGTTTGGAATGATGTCGACTGGTGGTTTTGCATTAAAAATAAATGAAATTTTAATGCAAATACGAAAATAAATAGATAGTGATTTCACATTTAACCAGGTTTAAATACGTAATCTATTCTAAAAATAATAAGAAGGATTTAGGTGGGCTGCAAAGAAAGGAGAATAGGCAGAATGCAGTCAGGCATGTAGCTATTATGCAGTTTAACCCATCTCACTTAATTCCAGCAGATTTTCTAGCAGACTGTACTTTGGAAATATGCATAAAACGTTTGTGCCCTGCTAAGGGCAAAAATATAAAGAAGTATTGAGCAGTGTCGCACGATAACTTTATAAGGTATTCCTCCCGCTTTCCTAGCGTCCTTCGTGATGTAGTGGTTCTGCACACTGGGCCGGTATTCCAGAGGTCCGTATTTCGATTCCCGGCGAAGGCGGTTTGCTATTTTTCATCTTTTCTGGCTTCCAATTAATCCTAATGTCTTTACAACCTTTTGCATAAAAACTTGGAGAATCTGGTTTTGAAACATTGGAATTGTTGAGGACAATTTACGCGGATCCTGAAAACTTACGCCTACAGGCGAAGCCTCCAGGAGACGCAAATGTGAAGAACATGGGAGGGACAAAGAGCACTGAAGGTGAACAACGCGCAAGACGTCCTCCCGTTTCAACAACTGACAACATATAAGCTGGATACAAGTACAGGTATTTATCGGCAACTGTTGAAAAATGGGATTGCTGCAGCTATGTACAGACAAATGAGCTTTTGAGAAATGTGACTGGTGCAGGTACGTACTGGCAAATGAGCTTTTGTCGCCGGTATAGACACACATATCTACGAGCAGTCAAGGTTTTGAAGAAACAAGTTGTGCTTGAGCCTCATGAAGTTGCAAATTCGAAGTTGCTTCATATGACAATGCGTCAAGGAGCGCAGCATTGCCGGTGGAATAATCTTGAACTCAAATGAATATCACTACAAATTTCACATCAATTCTGCATCTACATCAGAGTCCTGACTTGCTTCCATGTGACTTATTTCATTCGTCAAGCTAAAATCTCATTTCAAAGAACAGCATTTTGGGACAGTTGATGATGCCCAAGAAGCAGCTATGAAGAATTTATACAACATTTTCAACGGAGACTTCTTCTTCTACTATGCAGTAAACCGCAAAACTGCAATAGCTATATTTGTTCACAAGGCATTTATTTGAAGCTAACGAAATGTACGTATATGTGCTCAATGGAAAAAAATTATTGTGAATTATTGTGCTCAATGGAAAATTAAATTATTATGCTCAATGAAAAAAAATTATTGTGCTCAATGGAAAAAAATTATTGTGCTCAATGGAAAAAAATTATCGTGCTGAAAAAAAAATTATATGTGTGCTCAATGAAAAAAAATTATTGTGCTCAATGGAAAAAAATTATTGTGCTCAATGGAAAAAAATTATTGTGCTCATGTGTGCTCAACGGAAAAAAATATTCTTGTAACTATTGGGGCATGTTACATATGTTCTTGAATGCACTGCTGGCAATAAAAATTACAGTACAATGTATAGGCAGCCCAGAGAGTTATGCCAGTTTGGGCTATAATATATTTTGACTCCGCTACTCTTTTAACTAGCTGATAATATAATGTCATAAAACGCATGACGTTAATCTACATGCCTGATCATACATTATAAATATAGTGTTATTGTTGTTACTGATCCTAATCCTGAGCGTTATCAGGATGAAACAACACTTTCTTGATATTCACCCATCGTGGGCGTGTTTTGATCAATTCTGAGTTTAGACGGCAAAGTTGTTCACTATAAACTTTTAAATGAATCGTTTGATTTGGTTCTAACAGTTCAAACCGTCCTGAACGGGGCTCATCATCAATGCTGCTTTTTCCAACTTTTAATTTTTTAAACCATTTCTGGGAAGTCCTTACACATTATAGTGTGTTCACCATGTACACTATTAATTTTTATCGCTGCATACCTGGCAGATTCACAACACGAAAATAAAAAATGTAAGCACAGCACGTTTGCACGGATTTATATTCATCTTCTATGGGTACTAAAATGCATTTGACATTTACGAAAGTTGGTGATGAATAATATGTTAGTGAAACGATGACAAATTTCAACAGGTTCAAAATTGTATTCTTTTAGTAAATGCGTCATAGTGAATTCCACGCATACTCTTAAGGGGGCTCATACACCTTAAATCCCTTATGATCTTCGAATATGTGACTGTTGCAAGAATTGGGATATTTTATTTATTTAAAAATCAATTATTTCCAACTTTTTACAGCTGACTACATAATATAGCTGCTTTAAAAACAAGTAACCAGAAAATTTGTGTTGCCACAAATATTTTTGTAATTTAATCCGCTTTGTGACAAAATGTTTCGTCACGTTTCCACCTTGCTCGCATGATATTTTAAAAATGGCTAATGATACATACTTGAAATTGGATGGAATTCTTTATATGGGCACTATTTTCTACCTGAACCAAAAATCTGATGAACACTTTAATATTAAAAAATTTTTATGCACGAAAACATTACAGATTTTTTTAATAAAATAAATTTTTTAAACTCAACTCCAATTTTAATTTAAAATGAAATTCTTAGAATTTTGGGTTCACAGTAGTTTTCAAATATTATAAAAGCTCTACATTAAATATAGAATTAAATTATGCAACAGAATGTTTTAAACTGTGCGCGCAAGATGAAACTATGACGAAAAATTTTCACAAAGCGGATTAAATTATAAAAATATTTGTGGCAACACAAACTTAAAAAAAAGTTTAAAATAAATTGGAGGCTTTTAAAATAAATAAGGTATCCCAATTCTTGCAACAGTCACATATTCGAAGATCTTATGGGTTTTAATGTGTATGAGTCCCCTTAATGCGCACGAACTTATGGACTGACACGTTATTACAGATGTACATTATAATGGGAAGAGAGCTTTTGCGCAGTGAAGTCTTATCACAAATTATGAGGCCAGTTTTGCAGATGCTGGATAGAACTGCGACTGAAAGTCCAGACGCCTTTGTGGGCAGTGGAAGTGTAAACCTTAAGTTCCTCCTCAATTGCTATAAGCTCAGTCATAGCTTCTCTTTAATTTTCATGTTACAAAAGAAATACAAAAAATTTACTTATAATTCTACTAAAATTACCCATCTAAGTACAAAATTCATAACAGTATTTTTTTCTTTTTGTTTTTGAATGCAATATTAAAACGCAAATGGAGACTTTGCTTATTTTTCATTTGTTACTGCATTTAGTTTTTTAAATCGCTTAAATTAGCGAGACCTGTAAAATGGCCGAATAGTTTTGCTGCCCACAGTTTATTCTAAACAGAAATTACCGTTAATTTATCGAAAAACTCATACGCGGTGATATTTCCTTTTACGTGTTGGGTTAGAATACTTACTAGATTTTTTTTACATTTATTTTAAAAGCTACATATATATATCAGTTTATTTTAAAGAACCGCTGAGTCATTTTAAACAAATTTCTCAAAATTTCTTACGGGAGACCCTGTATGAAGCGATAAATTTATGTAACCAATTATAATAAACTATATTATTAGTGAATATGGTTTCTACCCTTCTATGATAACAAATTTTATGTCTAGCTCCACAGGTAATGCAGATAATACAAATTCACCAAATGTTTCAGAGAATTTTTTGTCATAATACAAAATCAGTCTTCATAAGCTAAATTTCTACATACAACAGATATTTCAGATGTCACTGTAACTTACTGTTGAAGGTATAATTTACAGACATCGTAGCATCCATGTCTAAATCATAAATGCATCCAATGAACTTGTCTACAAGAATCCCGCGATCCATCAGTCTGTACGTTCCATTAAAAGCGTAACTGTATTTTCCTCCGAATCGTAAAGCCTCGTTGGAGGTGTACATCTTTGGATACTTAGTTGCTTCATCTACGTAGCCGGTTACATATCTATACTCTGATTCGTCTATATCTATTGCAGTGCAAGTGTGAGAAAGAACATCTTTCTTGAATTCCACTAGAACAAAGAGATATAAAATATAAATACTGCAATAATATTATATAGATTTTATCGTTGCAAAAAATATGAGATACAGTAGAACTCCAATTATCTGAATCAGTTGGGATCGGGTTCCATTCGGATAATCAAAAAGTTGGATAATTGCATTTCTTCCGAAGAAAGGGTCTACTTTAACTAATTACTGTGTGTACTGTATGTTGAAAATGGAATAAAAAACTGTATAAGGTATTTCGCCCGCCTTCTTAGCATGCCCTCATAGTGTAGTGGTCAGCACGCTGGGTGCCTATTCGAGAGGCCCGTGGTTCGATTTCCGGCGGGAGCGTTGCGCATTTATCATCACTCCTGCTATAAAAATATCTTAATGGCTCTACAGTGGCGCCCGAACTAAAAGGGTGGTGGACGAGGATTTTCCACACCCAGGATTTGGCGACTGGGTCCCCTAAAAACCCCAATCGCTCTTTAAAAGAGGAGAGTATATAAGGTATTCCCGCCTTCTTAGCATGCCTTCGTAATGTAGCGGTCAGCACGCTAGGCGCGTATTCCAGAGGCCCGTGGTTCAATTCCCGGTGAGGGCATTGCTCATTTTTCAAGTCTCCTGCTTCCAAAAAATCCTAATGTCTCTACAACGGTGTTGGAACGAGACGGCTCCTTACCTAATGTAATGTCGACGGTGCCAAACAGGATTAATACCGCCCAGACCTTGGATCAAATTCCATGTGCGACCCGCAGAGCAAGAGGGGGTCAAGGCATACCGGTCGGGCCCTGCCGAGTCTTACTCTTCCGAGAGCCTCAGGCTTCTGTGAAGTATGATTTTATACCCCTGTGGGAGAGTGACTAGGTACAGATCCTAACATACTCCAAGCGTTCGCTGAGTCAACGCCGGGGATAATGTCTCACATGGCGCCCGAGCTAAAAATGGTGGTGAGATTAATTCTCCACACCTAGATTTGGCGATGGGTCCCTAAAAACCCCAGTCGCCCTTTTAAAAGGGGGATATATAAGTATCTCCGCATTCTTAGCATGGCTTCGAGTGTAGGAACAGTAGCTGGGCGGGTACCCCAGAGGTCCATGGTTCGATTCTCGGCGAAGGCGTTGCTCATTTTTCATTTTCCCTGCTTCACTGCTATTTTAGAATTAAAAAACTCAAAGTACTGTGAGAATTTCTCAAAGACACTGATGGCAGAAGCTAAGGAAATATGTGGCTTTATACTATGTATTGATATAATGCACAGATATTCTTCCGCTAAACACTTGCAGCTGCAAAATTAGCAGCTGTTAAATTGTTTATGCTTCGCTACTTTTAGGAATGAACATTCTACAGAAGAAATGGTACTAATCACTGAAGCATATCCAATGATTGACAAAGAAAAGCTTGAAACTGAACTAAAAGTACTCTATTGTAGGTTGAGATCCATGATACTGCAAATAATTGAGCTAACTGAAATTTATCTTCGAAAATACGCTAGATAATGTCTTAGTGAATTACGAAACTGATAAAATTCTCTTGAGAGTTCCCATGACTACAATCAGAGGCAGACGCACTTTCAACATTGAAAAGAATGACAACTTTTCTAAGAAGCACTAGGAATTCGGAAAGACTAAATGCGCTTGCACTGCTTTCAATAAAGAAAAATTTCCCCGATTTTCATCCAGAGATCAAGGAGAAAATTATTGATGTTTTTGCGAAAATTACAAGAAGAATGCATTTCATTTTTAAATGAATGGACAAAGATTGAACTGTAACAATTTAGGTTAAAGTAATTAAGAAATATTTATTTTTTTTCTTGTAAGATTTCATAAAGTTTCAAAATAAATTTTCTTTTCATACATGTTTGTTTCCTTTTACACAATTTTAAAACAATGGTTAAATTTTTTTTTGAACAGCACCCCCACTCATTTTAGCTGCGAGCCGCCATTGCTTAATTCCTCAAGTGACACATCATCCTCGATTTTTCCTGTCTCTTCCCTTTTCTTTTCCTTCTATTCTTCAGTTAATTTTGAAAAATTTTGAAATTATTAAAGCGATTGGGATAGTCAGATTTCAGGTAATTGGAGTTGTACTGTAACATATTCGATTCTTACAAGTAACGTTTGCATAATGTATGCTCCATACACACATATTAAAAAAATGTGACAGTTCTATATCTCCTATTCTACTTGGCGACTGACGAAATTTAACTTGCGTTTTTCATGTCTCAATGTTTTTGAATCTAATATGTCTCATGCTTTTCAATCTAATTTATATCCTAAGCTCGCCTTAGGATATATATTAGATTTATATATAGCATTTGTTCTAACATAGGTATTTCACACAAAATCATACTTTTTCTGAAATAGCATAGCAATTTTTTTTTTATATTTTAATTCTACGAGTGAGTTATCCCTAAATATTAAAGTTTGTAAAAATAGGTGAAAAACGAACCGAGAAATTTAAAATTTTATCTTGACGCACTTTTTTCAGTTTGCGCATAGAATAATTAATTCACTTGGCGAAATTCTAAATTTTTTGGCAATCTATTTTTCTTTTCCTTTTATTCTGCACGGACGGAAAAAGAAGTACTTCTTTCATTCTTTCAAATGATTTTAACAAAGTACGAAAAGGCACATTTGGCGTTATTATCGCTTTTAACAAATATCTCGAATTTCAAAAGGCGCCAATATATAAATTCACATACACATTTGGAAATTTTGAATAAAAATCTCCAAGTTTTTGCAATTATGCCTAGAAATACATCGACTTTTAAGGCGATGGTAAAAATTTTATACGCTATTATTCAAAACTTTTTCCCCCAAGAAATTTATAAAAAATTATTAAAAGATAAAAATTTTAAAAAAATAAATAAGAAACCATCTGCACATTTTATTTGGATTGAACCTAAATTTTCAACTGTGAAAGAGGAAATCAACTAAGTTTAATAAACAAAACGATATTAAAGCTTGTGCACCAAATTCAATAACAACTGAGAAGCTAAGATTTTGGGAGCTTATTTTTTAAAAAAACTACTCGTGTGATCTTTACGAAACTTGGCACTCCGGCATTTGAGTTGCAGAATCGAATTATCGACAAAAAGTGGTATGCCATTTCAGAAAAAGGCCAATTTTGTGTCAGAATACGTCTGTTAGAAAAATGCTATATGCAGGTGTACCGTAAATGTTGCGACAAACTTCTGGGGGAGGTAGGGCACATTATACGGATTGAGAATTGCATAGAAATCCATGCATGGAAATTTCAAGGGTAAGAGGTAGCAAAGGCAGAAGATGGGAAAAGAAACAAGAATGTTTAATTTGAAACATTTATTGGACATGAATACAAATGGTGTACGACAGCTTGAATGTTACAACAGATGCTCGAAGTTTGCGCCATCAGACGCCAAACATGCCTGACACCTACGGACAATTGATTGCCGAACGTGTTCAAACACGCCGCGAGTTTCTTTGATTGTAGCAGCTGCGCAGGTGAGTCTTGCCACGAGATCCATTTCAGACACAACAGGATCGTGATACACAACACTTTTGATGGCTTCCCACAAAAAGAAATCAAGGCTCGATAAATCCAGTGAGCGTGGGGACCAGGGAACTCGTTCATCATACCCAGTCCATCGATGCCGGAATGATCTGCTCAAATAGCTACGAACATCCAGTCCAAAATGAGCAGGAGGCCTATCATGTTGGAATCACATGTTGTGCCTCGCATTTGGTTTGGTGGAACATCGTCAAGGAAATCGGGAAGAACTTGCTCCAGAAAGAGCAAATATTTCGCGACACTCAAATGGTCCTTCGGTGTCAGGTATGTTTGCCGTCTGATGGTGTAAATTTCGAGCATCTATTGTAACACTCAAGTTGTCGTACGCCATTTGTATTCATGTCAAATAAATGTTCCAAATTAATCACTCTTGCTTCTTTTTCCATCTTTTACCTTTGCTGTCACTTACCCCTGACATTTCCGGGTATAGGTTGCTATGCAATTATTAATCCTTATGATATGCCCTACCTCCCCTAGAAGTTTGTCGCAACATTTACGGTACACCCTGTATATAAATCTAGCATATGTCCTAATTCGAGCTTTCGAGATATGAAAAACGCAAGGTGACGTAGGTGTACATAAAAGTATAGAAAAAACTTACTTAAGCGGTTTTTTCAGTTAAAAACTGAAAACATTTAGAAAATCTGATTAAAGTCATAGAATCCATTCAACAGAACAATAGCAGGTTTACGAATAAAAGTAAACAGTAAAATGTCAACACGGAATACGTACTGCCAGGATGCAATACATCATACTGGACAACTTGTGCGACTGCGTAATCAAAAAGGAAATGGTGTTCGATGCCTTTCTGCATGTACATGTACTTAGCTCTGTAGTTGCTGTCGTCGAAATACAGCTCCTCGTACTGGACGTATTTCTTATTGTAGTCCACATGCTCTGCACGCATTTCGAAGTTCTTTGGAAGAACAGGTGGTACGAGTCCTACGGGAAAAAGTTCACATATAAACATATATAAAAATAACAGTAAAAAGACTAATATTAGCAGATTTTCACTTCCTCGTACGAAGTAAAGGAAGCATTGTAATGGCGAAAACTTTCGAATGTCATATTTCAGCGAAAATATCCATTTTGACTGCTATCGAATGCAATTTAACGATGTTTTTGCGTGATATATGTACGTGATAAAGAACTCTTTTTTAAAAAATGGGTTGCAGAAAGGATTTAAAATGTATTCAGAAGAGATATTTTCGTGGTGTTTGTAAGTCCGTATGTATGCATATGGCATAACTCAAAAACGAGCAGCCTCAGAACTTTGAAATTTTGTATATAAGACTGCTATAACATCCAGTTGGACACCTTCCTTTTTGGTTGCAATCGGCTGCACCAAACATATAAATATATACCCACTCTATTACTGGGCTCCGTGGGCTCAGTTGTTTTTATTTCTATATTGATAAATTGTGCATTTTTTACTTTAAAAATGATTGAATTACGTTGTTCGTACCTAAGATTTTCAAACTTTTAGTTAACCTGCATGCAATAGTTGTAGAATTATCAACAATTTAAAAGTTGTTTAATCGCGGTTAATTTTTTACCATACCCAATTTTTTTACCATAGCATCCGTACTTGTTAGCATTTGAAACTTAGCAAAATAGGGAATTCAGTCAGTTTATGCACCTTTAACGTCTTTTTGCGGAATGAGACCTAAAGTAAACTTTCAGTTTTGTGCACCGAAAAATCTGCCTTCTTCTCCGCTGTCTGAATTGCTTATTTTTGCATAGAAACTTTAATTTTAATAGTAAAAGTTGTTTTTTAATTGTTTTAACTATATTTGGTGTTTTATGTTTTTCTATATTTTTTAGTTTTTAATAAAGACAGTTTGAGATTTTATTTATTTGTGTCTTGCCGAGAAGTGAGAACTCAATTAATTGAATAAGAAATCTATCTCTAATGAAGTTCGAAGAAATAAATTTAAAATAAAATACAGGAAAAATTGAGTATAATTCAATATTCCGTACAAGGAAGTCATGTCGTATACACATCAGATTTTTTAAATAATTCAAATTATGTTATACAAGTTAGTTAGATAGGAAGTTCCCAGTTAGATTAGAAGACAGAAAATTGTTTTTAAAAAATTTGGAGATCATTTTATTACCTGTTATGAACATGGCTTAAAGAAGGTCGAATAATAAAATTAAAAAAAAAAAAAAAAAAAAATCTCTGCATCAAATCAACAGATGATTTTATAAGGGTTTCAGAAGGAGGATTAAAAGTGATTGAAAATTTTTAACAAAAGTATTTAAATTAGGTCTAAAAGAAGAAAACACGTTGATGGATTGTAGCGTTTCACTATATACGTCGATTCGCTTTTCAGATGGTTGCCTCCAAATATTACCACCCTGTGTTACATTTAAAGAAGTACGGTACCTAGAGCCATCGAATTTTGAATAACGTAATCTTGCATCGAATATGGGCATCTGGAAGCCCTAATTTGGAATTTGAAATTTGTTTTGTTATTGATTTCATATTTTGTAAAATTTGAACGAATTTTTTATTAAGAAAATCAATGGTTTCAAAGCGAGCAATGGCAACACTTTACAAAAAAAAAAAAAAAAATTATCTCCAGCGCGCGACACTGTGTATCGGAAATTCTAAACACATGCCTTTAAATATTTTGTGATATTGCTGTTGAATTGAATTTTATGGTTTAAAGGCGAAGAACATGATATTTAATAAATAAAAGTAACACACAAAAGGTTAAAAAAACTTCCCTTTGGGCGTAATGCAAAATCTGAAAGCTTCTGTTTTTTTTAAATTCTTCTTCTTATTATTGTTATTTGAAGGATTCGAAAGCTTATGAAGAGTTAGGATTCATCTCAACTTTTGTACAAACCATATTATTATAGTTCTCAAGAGCAAAACAGAAGTAAAAATAACCCCTTAAATACGTTATTTAAGTTTTATAATTCATTTAGACTCAGTAGAGAAAACAAGATAACAACTGCCAGCATTGTAACCTCGTATCAATGGGTAACATCGCAGCTGAGGTAGGCGTGCCACACGGGTTTACGACCTAGAAATATGAGTAATATCTACCTGCTGATTGTCATGTGGTAGACAGATGCATCACATGCTAATCTCACGTTGATCACCTTCTTAGTAGGCAGCTGCAAATATAAATCGCTTTTATCAGTCCTTTGTTTAAATAGCCATCTGGTCAAATCATCGTTGCTCTTCAATCATATTGCGATGTGTAACAGCTAGTTGTTTGTTGAGATTAAATTGTATAATTCAGGAAAAGAATGGTAAAACAAACAAATAAATATGGCAAAATATAGTTTGCAAACTATATGTCAAGTTTTGTTTTCATAAAATGTGTTAAATTTTTATTTACAGATGCAAATATAATTTTTAAATTAAAACCCTCTAAGCGGCAAGGCCGTATATATACGGCCTAGAATATTTATTGTGATATCTGTAAGAACGTATATATACGTGCATATTAAAATATGTCAACGAAATTAAGGCAATATATCAAAAGAAAATAAATCCAGGTATGAAATACCAGGAGAGTTTTTACATTAAAATCAAAAAAAATAATTTTTTCTCATAGTAGCTTTGGGAAATTTGTGTTTTTTAGCGAAAACCCTGGCCGCCCAGAGGGTTAATTATTTTTTTTTTTTATTGTTAGTCCAAAACCGCGTTAGCCCGGATGCTCGAAACGGAATTTTTCTTCGCCCACTATGAAAGCCGAATCACTTTTCAAATTGTTGCCACCAAATATTATCGCCCAGCGTAAATTTACTTAATTTAAAAGAAATTAAAGTAATGAAGAATCTGTGGTATGTATGTTCCTCTCATTGTGAAACAATGACAGTACCTAAAGCCATCATATTTTGAATAGCGTAGTCCTCCACCCGAAAAGGTGCAGCTGGAAGCTCGAATTTTGTATTTCATATTTTGTAAAATGTATTAAATTTTTGATTAACAAGTTCAACAATTTCAAAGCGAGCAGTGACAAAAGTGTACGGAGTAAAAACATTTTTATCTCTAAATCGCGAGAACGTTTATCGGAAATTTTATAAATAAGCTATTTTTATTTATTTTCTGGTTTTGCTGTTGAATTGAATTTTATGCGGGGTAAGTGCAAAGAACGTGATCGATACATATAAAAATGAATGTTCGTTTGTTTTCCTTTTATACAAATCTACAGTTTAGTATCTTTGTAGAACTTGCCACACTCGACCTTCAAAACAAGAAGGTCGCTGCTTGCATAAGATTTCTCAAAAACCAAGCGCGTTTGATCCACACTCTTTTATATGCACTTATTTTACGTTATTTTAACGACCTTTTCAAAAACTTAGCTATTTAAAAGCTTTTTGTTGCCACTTTGCTAAGCGTAAGATATGCATGTTTCAGATTTAATCAGAAAACTCGCCAATAAAAAAAATTGTGTTGCCACTCGGGAAAACGTAAGTATATTAAATTTGTCTCGAATTTAATAAACTTGGCTACGTAACAGAAATGTGTTATCACTGCTCAAATTAAAATAATTTAAAGTGTGTTATCGTTCAGCACAGCGTAAAATATTTAATTTTTCACGCATTAAAACATGCATGTTATTGCATCAGACGCATTTTCTTTGCTTTTGAAAGTGTATTTGTAATAATCGACACAAAGCATTACTTTCGCTGTGAAATCAATTACGTTACCAAAACGAAAATCGATCGCTCGATCTACACCCCAAGCACAAAAGACAAAGGTATCACAAGCTTCAGAAACAAAGGAGCAACTGGAACCAAACCGGTGAAATGTTCAAGTACACACTGCTCAAGCTCGGTCTTTAAAAACCGCGGCGACAGGCGAATGCAGGGCCGGACACCCGAATGGCTTTATATGACAAAATCGGTGTCGTCCGGTACCCGCACCTGCCTAGAGCATGAGGGCTGCATCGCGAATTTCTTAATGCAGAATGTGAGGTTTTTTGACGCGACCAAACACGGGCGTTTGCATATATGCTTCAACGTACAATTAATAATAGTTTACATGCATAGGTACACTGCGCAAAAACAAAGGGGAGACAGTTCTATATCTCCCATTCTACTGGGCCGATTGACAAAATTCAAATTGCGTTTTCTATGTCTCAAAAACTCGACTTGGGATATATATTAGATAAATATATAGTGTTACGAAAGGTACAGGCGAGGTGAGATAGCTTCCCTGCAAAGCAGTTTTAGGGTTGCCATAAAATAGCAGGGAAGGCAGAGTGTTCATATTTGGCGAAAAATCGCCCATTTGGCGACAAAATTGGCGATATGCCATGGAGGGATGGAGAACCTTCTGGAACGAATTCTTACCGGTTTAGCCCAGAATGTTCTCGAACACAAGCCGAAAGCTATATAAACCCTGCAGGTCCGCAGTCAGCTAGTGTGTGCCTCGCTGAGAGGGCGAGTCAGAGTGTGCCTCGTCGAGAAGGCGAGAGTTAGTATCGAGTGTCTCGTCTAGCGAGTCAATCCCTGCGGAGTCGATCGAGTTGACAGCCGGGCAGCGAGTGCCGAGTGAGTCGTCGAGTGCACCGAAAGAGTTTCCTAGTGTATCGCGGTTAGTCCATCGTCGAGAGAGCATGTTGAGCTCCAGGAACGACTGAACCGAAGAGGCGGGAGCCGTGTTCTGTGTGTCGTCGAGTGCATCGTGAGTTGTAGCGTGGAGAGTCTCGAGAGTACGTGGAGTTCGGAGAACGACCCAGCAGAGTCGGGAGCTGTACTCTGGTGCTTTGCCGTGAAGCTGTCTCCACCGTGATAGCCTGATAACCTGAAGGCTGTGTCGTTGAACGTGTCAGCGTGTTTATAGTAGTTCATCGACGACGACTGTAAAACGTGTTTTAGAGCTGTCCTGACAATACTGGCTAATAAAGTGTGTTTCGATACTTCATCAAGTAGTGTCGTCATTATTCACTCCAAATCCATACGAACCCCGTATG